TCTGGCTCCTGGAATCATCAGTCAAACTAAGATCTTATCCAATCTCTCATTCTAGAACTCCTGGATCTTGCCTGAAAATGTTTTCTTTTGGTAATTCATTCAGGAGGTCCTAGGATAGGCTTCAGAGTCCTCTGCCATTAACAGTGAAGGCCTGAAGGAGAAGCAAAGAAGGTCCAAGTGCTTGACTTGGTTCAGCTCCTAGAACCATTTACAGATCCACCAGCATCACTGATAGCAAATTCCTGCCCTATCAGCTAGTACTGCTGCACAGGGGGTTATGGAGCCTTTCCTGGACTTACGTATGTATTCTCAGGCTTTCTGCAGGATTCAGTCTCTAGGAATTCTTCAGAATCATATTTTGACACTTCACATCTTCCAGTCCACACTTTAAAAGAAAAATGCTGTCACTGTTCCTTTCTGAGCAGTGGAAGTCAGGGACGTCAGGAACTCAGACTCCACCACTGCACAGATTCTTCTCACACAAGCTGTTAAACCCCTTCAGTCCTGACTGTGGTGGTGGTTAGTCCAGAACTCTATGAAGCTCACTCTTTTCCTGCATCTCTAACCAATGTTTTTTTCTGTTGTTGTTGTTTTTGTTTTGTTTTGTTTTGTTTTTCAGGAAAATGGCCCTTTTATCTCTTCTATCAATCAGAAAGGATTTCTCACCCTACATACAGAATATCTAGTCACAGAATAAATTCAGGGTTGTTTCCTTGTCTCACTGAGGATATTCCCAAATATTTTGATACTGCTGGAGAGGATCAGCAATACTGAACATGATTTAGAGGACAATCGTTCCATTTCTCTAGAATCCCTTTACCTATAAATCAGGCTCTGCTGGACTCTTTTTACCTACTTGGCGACCTTCTGCAAAAGCAGTGGACTGTAAATATCGAGTCCTCGCTGTTTTGTTTAAACACCCACTCTCTTCTTTCATTTGGGGAAATTGCTAGAAAACTCAAAAATGCGTAAAGAGATTAGAGCCGTAAAAGCAGGAAAAAAATAAAATGGCAGCTCCTCTTAAGCCCATGCTATCTGAGTACCATATCAAGTTTTGCTCCCCATTACTTTATTTTGATCTGCTTAGGTTGAGGAATAGAGGTTATGCATCAGTTACTGCTAATCTTCTAGCAATTTCTACATATCCCTCAGTTGTTAGAAACTGAAGCAAAGGCACATTCTACACTCCACTTCTGGTGAGAAATTTCTTCATATCATGAAATCTGAGGCTGGTATTTGCATCACTTCTGAGTCCTTGGTGACTTGTGTGTAGAAGTAACCAGCTCAGTTATCAGCAGTTGTTCTTCCAAAGTAGCCAACATTTAGGCACAAAGAAGATCAGTCCAACATGTCTGTTCTTCAGATGGGATATCCCCTCTGACACATACCATGCTTCACCACAAGAATGCAGTCATATTTACTAGCAGATAAGCTTAAATTGTATGCTTTCCCAGCTTCCCAGTCTCTACAATGGAAGAATCACTGGCCTTCTGTGGGGCTTTGCCATTTTGTATTTTAAAACTTTTTGATGCTCTCCAGTATCATTTGTCCCTATTAACTAACACCCACTCTCATACAGAGATATTGTTGAGTTGGTTATTTAAGACAATGGTGCCAATCAGTAACAGATTGTCTTAAAATGATCTCATGACTGTCTTTATCTCCAAAATCTACAGGACACCCCCCTCAGACTTCTTTATTAAACCACTCTGTGAAGCACTAAATAATTGCTAAAGCCTCTGGACATGGTTCGGATAGTAGCAGCAACTATGAGGTCACTGTTTGCTTTAAGTATTTTTACTGTTTGCATGCTGCTTGGAGAAATGTCACATGAAAATTGACTTGCAGTACTGCTGAAGTAATCCACTTGTACACTCTTTATGTATTCTCTCTCTACATCCCATTCTAACTTGTTTCCCTGTTCAAATTACAAAGAGAGAGGAACAGAAAGCATGTGGCTAACTGTTATCTACAGACCTGTCATGAAGTTACAGGGAGCAGAACTAGAGAATGGCCAGAAGTACTCATTGGGAGCATTTATCCTTGAAAAACAACTCTGAATACGTAGGCTGGAGGTAAACTGTGGAAGCCAGCTGGTCCAACCTCCTGTGCAAAAGCAGCAGCAGTCAGAGTAGGTTGCTCAGGACCTGTCCAGTTACATTTTTAGTATCTTGAAGGATGGATATTTTATAGCCTCTCTGCTCCTGTGTTTGACAGCTCTCATTCAGAGGAAAGAAGAATGTTGCTTATTCATTGTCTTTCCTTACATCAAATCAGAATTTCATGTGTTCTGATTGGTGTCCGTTCTCCTTTGTCCTACTACCATACCATATCTGAGAAAAGAGTGGACCCATCCCCTCCAAATCTCCCATTACTCAGTACAGTCAGCAGTAAGATGTCTCCAAGCCTTCTTAATTCACAGCTGAGCAAACAGAAGTCTCAGCCTCTCCTCATTCGTTACCTACCAGTCCCCAAGAGTTCTAACTACTGATAGCAACCCTTGTTTTGCCTTAAGGTATAACTAGGTCATAAAGAAATTCCAGAAGAAATCTAGACATAACTAAGCTCTCCCATTGGTTTTACGACAGAGATACACAAGTACTGAGATATATGATGTAAACATACATAAAGTTGAAAATAGCAGTGTAGTAAAAAACAGGCAATATAGTTCAGTTTTTCTTGACAACAGTGCATCTGTTCATAACTCCAGAATTTCCTGGCAGGCAGCTAACACTTGATTTGATGATATGGAGGTTGAAGGTCCTTGCAGCAGCAATCTAAGCTTGCAGTTGCTGATACTTCCTCCTGTCCTTAGTCTCCTCCACACCATCTCCTACTTATTCTTAACCTTTCCCGTTCTTTTAGCTGTGAAAATTTCTGCTCTTGCACCAGCTCTGGCAATCATCACTGTAAGTAAGCCAATTCAGCTTCTTGGCAGAAAACCATGCCCTTTTATTTTCTCTAGGTTTGTTTTCTGCCATATTAATGAGCTCAGACAACTCAAAAAGTGATCCAAGAAAAACTAGACCCATTTCACAAGAGGCAGAAACTGTGCACAGGCAGGAATGGGATGGCAATATTAAAAGCACCTTCTGTTAGTACTGTCTGCTGTGAGTTCAACTTAATTTGTGCCTCTGCTGGTTATTATTTGATAATTCAGCCCTGTTCTCTGTGAGGCCAACAGGAATGCAGGTACTGGTTCCTGAGCAATGCGGTGGATAAGGAGAGCAGTGTTTCATGGCACTGTTCTTCACGTTTGCTCTGGCGAGCATTTGCTGCATGCCAATGGTGAACAGTGGGGCTGCTCTGAGCCTTCCTGTCTATCTGTAAAATAAATGCCATAAGCAAGCATTACACTGCTGCAAGATGCTTTGCAGAGATATGTCAAAAGTTTTTCAGGCTCATATACAAAGAAATCTATGGATTCTGTGGGACCTGTGGCTCTTTTCATTACCTTCAGTAAATAAACTGGACCACCGTGGAATTATCAGTACTAAATCCTTAATGCTTTTTCTGTGGATGTTGGGAACTCACCGTGTAATAACCAAACTGAAATAGAGAACCAGAAGTGGAGGATACAATTCCTCAAACACACTAAAATGCATTTCCCTTCCTATAATTTTTTCTACCAAAACAAAACAAAACAAAAACATATACTTGATTGTATGTTTTAATCAACCCTCTCATTCTGAACTCTCTAGATGTAGGATGCATCTCCCTTGAAACATTATTTTGTTGTAATTAGTTTTAGTTCTACTGTATGATGTAAGAGCTCAGGTTAGTGCAGAATTAAGACAAATTGCTTAAATCAGTGCAGTGATAGCCTCCAGATTCTCATGCAACTGCACCAATGCTTCTTAGTGTTTTCAATGCGGCTGCCCTGGAATTTTTCATATCCACAGCTGGGAACACAGGTCTAGAGTGTGTGCCAATAGAATTTCAATTCTGACCCAGCGTTCAGGTAGAAAAGTGATAAATACTGGTATTTAGAGAAATTCACCCAATTCTTTCATTATACGTAGTAATTTCACTTGTGCTTATTTTTAGAAATACCTAATATCCAGTACAAGAAAGATACACATGAAAAGCTGTTGCCATTTATGGAGAACAGAGCAGATCAATTCATTTGAGAGAAATAAATAAATAAAAAGATAAAAAGACAGCCAGCAAAACAAAGTTTATAAGGAAATCAGTGGAAAACAAACTCAATTTCAATGCTCCTCTTCAATGGAGTGTCTATTTTCCTTCAGGAGTAAATTTTGCAGTGAGTTGCCATAATTTCTATACGGAAACATAAATTTCCATACAGAAATGGAAAACCAGGCATCTCAGAGTTAAGGATTTTGAGGCATGGATTATCAACTATAATGCTAATGAGTATTTCTATTTCTTGAATTACCATTTTATTTCTCAAGAATGCTATATAAAAATCTTGAGGATTTTTTTCTCATTTTTCCATTTTTAGTAATATGATATGTGTAAAGATTTACTGGTTTATAAACTACTTTTCACAGTTGTCAGCATTTGTTGTCTTTAAAAGGTGAGTTTACTTAATCCAAGTTTTCCTTCTGTCCACATGAGAAACAGTAACTGCAACGATTGCTCAGGCTTTCAACAGTGTGAGAGTGATTCTAAATATAAAATGTAATTCAGGGGAAACTATTGTTTAATATCAGGTCAGAAGTAGAACACATCCTACAAGACATCTGTTGCATCACCGCAGCCCATGGCTTCACAATAAAACCATTCTTGCCAAATGGTGACAAAGCACTGTGGACACCTTCCAAAATAAGCCTAGCATACAGAACACAGAGCTGCTCCTTCTGATCTGCTTCCTTTATACCTGTGGAAGGGCTCCCTGCATAGGGGTGCTACAAACCCTGGATTCAGATGGGAGGGCACTGGCTCCCAAGGTCACAGTCTATTTGCGTTTACTCCCTGGGCTGGTATGAGAGACAAGATTTACTCAAACATGCAAGCATCTGCACACTCACACATACCATTCATGTTCCCAGTAGGCAAAAGGGTGTATGTGACAGCCTGACTTGAGGTCCTGGCACATCATACGTATGTACACCTGCTCTGGGCTAACTCCAAATATTTCACTTCAGCTCTTCCTACAGGAACACAAAGATTGGGGGTCATCAGTAAGGTACAGCAGGATTCAGCCTGCTGAGTTATCTCTGTCACTTACAGGCGGAATGGAAAGACATGGACATCTGGCATGCACACTTTATTTCACACGTTATCACATGCTTGGAGTAGCCTGACAGAGTCACATTTTGTCCCCAGTTTGAGGTCAATACAAAAGAATCAGCCAGAAAGAGCAGAATTTAGTTACCAATATCCCTCCATACTGCTGATAGTAAATATAAAATTAATAAATAAATAAAAGAGACTGAGAGGAGTTATCTGCCACTGAGAATAGTTCTTTACTAGCAAAGTTCCTTGTCTCTGAAAAATGTATTCTAAGTATAGAGCTGCTTACAATTGTGTTTATAATCAACGTATATCAAACGTATTTGTTACCTAAAAATATTAAATAAAAAACAAACAAACAACCACTGAAACTATATATATTCAGAAATGGAGAAAACTTTCTATTAAATTTAGTCTGCTGAACAAGAGGTCAAAAAGTTGTACTTGGAATACAAGCAAATCTGCACCAATTCATATCCCTTGGGAGTTTGAAAACAAGCATCATCTTCAGAGGTGTCTTGGGTTTGGGAATCAAATTAAACTTTGTTGTAATTAAGTTCTCCGTAAGTAATGGGATTCTCCATTATTTCTGCCAGACTTGAGAGGAGTATATTTAACATTCAAAACCATGAATACTAATTCTTTACAAGTAAGATTTTTTTCTTCAGCTTGTATGCTGTTCGATGGGAGAACTGATCATTTAAGCAGCATTCGTAGACTTGCCTGAGCCAAGCCAGAAGCAAGAACCAAGCCAGAAGCAGAGCAAATGAGTCCATGCAGATACCCATGCTCCTTCAGATACACTGCTTCCATTTCCAAGTGAACTCCTCTAACAGCATCTCAGCAGAACAGTCTCACATCACCTTACCATAAAGGTCACAGCTCCACCCTTCCTCCTCTGCAAACAGCCTTCTTGGCACAGGACCCACTAACAGGTCTGCAAATAGAAATTTAAAACTATGGAAAAATAAAATAAAATTAAAGTGTTCAAACACTAAATTAACACCTAAATAAAAGCTGAATGATAAGAGTGCACTGTTGCATGGAATAGGAAGAATAAGTTGTTCCCACTGACTCTGTTTTCTGGTGTCTGCTAAAGCTCTTTGATTCTGCCTGTCTTGCTCAAGGGTTACAAAAATGGCTTTGGTTATCACTGCCAGCACTCCTTTTCCAGGTGTATGAAAACAGAGAGAATACTGTTAGAACATCTGTACTAAAACGAGTTCTTTACTATGAGAGTGGTGAAGTGCTGGAACAGGCTGAGGCTGTTGCCCCATCCCTGGTGGTGTTCAAGACCAGGTTGGATGGGGCCCTGGGCAGCCTGGTCTAGTATTAAACTGGGAGGTTAGAGGCCCTGCCTGTGGTTGGCAGTTGGAGATTCATGATCCTTAAGGTCTCTTCTAACCCAGGCCATTCTGTGATTCAGTGAAAACTGACAATTTGCTCCCCTGAGGAATTTTCTGTAACCAAGTGATTTTCTGTAACCTGTGTAAATTTTACTCAGGTAAATGTGAAAACATGCAACCATAGGTATTTACTGTTTTGCATAAGTATTAGTCATGATGTTATTTCTTCATTTTTTTGGATCTCGACAGACCTCAATCTTTATATAGTTTAAATAGTTGTGTCTTACCTAGTATTAAGATCAGGAACACCTATGGCAAGTTTGAAAAAAAAAACAAAACCAAAACCACAGAAAACATACCTTTTCTAGTAACTATACTGATGAGCTGAGACTTGGCTAAGATCCCTTGAGATTAATTCCTTGAGCTTCAGCCTGTACAGAGATGCTGTAGCCCCAAGGAAACTAATTTTAAAGTCAACAACCGTCACTGCCCATGGCCTTGGGGCAGAAGTGCCCTTCAGAGCGTGGTGCAGCAGATGAGGGACCCCACTGGGTACGGGCTGCAGAAGGTCCCTGAGCAACACAGCCTCTGGAGTTTACAGTAACGAGAATCCTGAATATTACATTTTAGGGTAATATTCAGAGAATCCTTCCTAACAGTCTAACATTTAGGTGCTTTCTTAACTCTTAAAAAAGTCATTTTTTAATCAAGCCAAAAACTCCTTAAAAAAAAAACAAAAAAGAGTCATTCAGACTTTGTAGCTGGGGCTGTAACGCAGTCATTCGCTGTTATTACACAGATGACAGCACCCACACCAAAACCGTGATGCTCCGACACAGCAGTGCTATGTGGGAAGCGCTGCAGATGGCACAGCAAGCATCACCAATTGGCAGCACTAATCAGACCACGGCAACGACAAAATACGAAAACTCTAGAGAACTACGGCAGACAAGCATAATCTATTTACTGGAGCCTGCGGAAGCCCAGTTACTGCAAGGCTTTGTGACTTCTTGTACGATTTAGTCAGCATTTTCAGCTTTTGCAACTCCACCACGGGCCTTGCGACACGGGCAGCTTTTCCTGAAGCACTGGTTAGCATCAAGCACTGAGAAAGGACGATCGAGATCGTACACCTTCGCTATTTCTGCGGGGACGCCGGGCCAGCTCGCACACAGCGACACAGACCCCTCGTCCTTCCTCGGCCACGGGCGATCCGAGCAGCTGAGTTTCGGCGGATATCTTCCCCCAGGGCGGAGAAGCCTCGCCCCGTCGCCTCCTGAGCGCTTGCCGCCAGACTCCTCCTCAGAGCGGCTCTCCCTGGTTGCCAGAGAAACCGGGACACGCTCAGACGCACGGCCGGCTCCCGCGCACCCCTGCGCGCCCCCCTCACGAACCGCCTCAGCAACCCCAGCCCAACCGACCGCGGCCGTAGGGAGGAGCCGCGCGCGCCGCACATCACGTGACACACACCCCCCCAACCACCCCCGCACCCGCCCCTCCTGCCTGTGGCCCATTTCCTGGCCTCTTAGCCCCGCCCTCTCCTCTCCGCCCCCGCCGCGCCCCGGACGCTGATTGGCTGTGCCCTGGCATTGCGCGCGGCAGCGCCCCCCACCCCGCCCCGCCGGCTTCACTCCGGCAGCCACGCGCCGGTGGCAGCGAGGCGGTGGTGTAGAGCGAGCGCGGCCGTTACCCGCCCCGAGGTGCTGAGGGGGCGGCGGCGGCGAAGGGGTCCATGGCCGCGTCGGACCGCATGGTGCTGGGGCCGCTGGTGGGCTCCATCGATCAGGGCACCAGTTCCAGCCGCTTCCTGGTGAGAGCATCGCGGAGCTCGGGCTGCGGGCAGGCAGGCGGCGGCGGCTTTTCGGCAGCCTCGCGGGGTGTTTCGCTCCGCCCGTGGGGAACGAGCGAGGGGCTGCGGAGAGCCGGCGCTGCGGGCGGCTGGGTCTGAATCGGACTGCTCGGAACCCCGCGAGCTGTCCTTTGGGTGACCGCGATGAGCTGTAGCGTTCAAGCACGCGGTGACCGTGCCGAGTTCCCAGCTGAAAGCTTGGGCCTGCGGGAGGAGCGTGTCAGCGCATCCCGTGCGCAGCCGTGGCTGAACTGCAGCCCCCTCCTCAACCCGCGTCAGAGCCGGGGGCTCCGAGCCTGCGGGAGGGCACGGTTTGTGTAAGGATGGGGTGGCTGATAACAGCCCTTGAGCTTAAGGATCTATCTCCCTGTTATGCAATAGACGGTAATGTTATTCCCATATATGTAACTTAGTATATAAGCTTCCTGCTTGCAGATGTCTGCAAATGCTGTCCTGCCTCCCAGACAGTAAGTCATAGCAACTTGATATTGACGCCGATGATAACTTCCGCCGTGCAAGTGAAATAGTCACTAGATATAAAATGCCAAATTGAGCTGGAAAGATGAATGTGAAATCCCTAGCGTGGAATTTTCTTCCCTGAAGCAGGGGACTGAGTATCTTCCTGACCTGTGTTACAATTATTTCTCAATATCATGACCTTCATGGGACTGTCAAATGACAAAGCACAGATCCGGGGGTGGAGAGAAACTCCAAACTGACAAATGACACCAGTGGGCAATCTGGAATGCCTGTCAGGAGCCCTTTTCAAAAAAAAAAAAAAAAAAAAAAAAAACCATTGAAAAAGTTCCCTGTAATGCCTGAAAATAAATTCTGTCTGCTTTATGTGTGCTGCTGAGTTAAGTCTTAGTGTAAAAATAAAACACCAGCACAATTAAGACACGCTTCCAGCCTTAAATTTGTACTCAGTGTCTTTTTACAAGTACTGTTTATAGGCTGTAACAAGAAATTTCTCATGCTAGATACATTCATCAGTAGTTTGTACACTGTCAGTTTTGGCTTTTTTGTCTTGCATGAGAATGTTTCTGTTCAGGCATCAGGATGCTTTCACAAATAAATAAGAAACCATACTTTTTCACTTTTTTTTTTAATTTAAGTGTATAGTATTTGTCATTTCTTTCAATTCTTCATGTATTCATCTCAGTTTCTCTAAATTATTTTCAAAATACAGCATTCTCTTAAACTTGGCAGTGTGATCAAACTGTTATGATAATAAAGTTACATGAATTTGAGAATTTTTTTTATCACTGCGTTAAAAGAAAAATGTGGGATAGGGAGGAAGAAGAGGGCCAAGCAAGCAGGGATCTGCTACAAGCTATGTCAGTCAGTCAGATAATAATGTATGTACCTGGAGAATCTTGTATTAGAGAGAGATTACCAGATTTAGAAGAGAGATCTTTCTTTCAAGCACTTTATGCCAAAATGTAATATGGTGTTCTTTCTGTATGAGATATTTCCTTGGCTCTCTTGTTACCTTTTGATCTTTTCACTGTGATAGTTGTTCCGCATGCCTTCCTCAGTGATCTTTGTACGTTTCCCACCATTTTCATTAAGTCACCAGTTAAAATCAAATTGTTTGTTACTTTGTGTATTCATCAGGACTGTGTAGCTGTTTCTTATTTTTTTAAAAGCAGTGAACATATGACTTTTGATCAGTTTAAAGATATCTGGGTGAAAAATTGGCTAAGGTACTATCAATAGGTCAGAGTCTAAAAGGAGGCTAATTTACAAATTATGTTCCACAGAGGATGGTAGCAAGTTTTTGTCAACGGCCTGGATGATGGTTTGGGATGTACTGTCAAGTTTGCAGGTAGTCATGGATTGTGAGGATCAGTTGATTGGAGAACTGGCCTGGCAGAAGTATCATGAAGTTCAACAAAGTCTAATGCTTGGGACAGAAGGCTAAGAAGGCTTAATGGAAGCAGATCTGGGGTCCTGCTGGATAGCAAGATGAACGTGAGAGAGCAGATTGTCCTTATGCTGGTGAAGATTAACCACATTAGGAAGAGTGCAGCCAGCAAATCAAAGGAACTAATTATTCCTGTCTGTGTGCCTCTGATGAGACAGCACTGAAAGTGGAGTGTCTGGTTTCAGTCCCCACAGAGGAACAGAGCATCTGAAAAACACCATTTAGTCCAGCAGAGGGTCACTGACATGGTTTGTAGGCTGCAGCATGCAGCATGCAAGGCAACGTTGGAAGACTCAGGGGTATTTGTCCGTGGGAAGTCTATAGGGGCACTGTAATAGGTTCAGTTATCTAAACACAGTTTGTAGAGAAGACAGAATCTTGGAAGTGCACAAGAAAAGACAACAGGCAGTGATGACTGGGTACAGCAAGAGAAATTTCCAATAGATGTAAAGAACAAATGTTTCCCTGTAAGGGACTCAAACACTAGGTCAGGCACCTGGGAAGACTGGAATTTCCATCCTTGCAGGTGCTTAACACCTGGCTGGAGAAGGCCTAGTGTAGCCTGGTCTAACTTTGAATATAATCTTACTTGACCAGTGGGTCAGGATAGACAACTCTGGAGATTCCTTCCAGCATTGCTTATTCTGAGATTCTATACATGAATAGAAACTAAGATTTGTGAAATTCCACTCGTGTGAATGAGGCTGTATGAAACAGCAGAACTGAGAAAAGTACATTTCTGTTGCCATCACTCCTTGTTTATCCTTGTATTTCTTACACACATAATACAAATAAACAGTTTTAGCTCATGTGTGGTCTTGCCATCAGAGGACCTTCTCTTGGATTTTTTCTAAGCTACTTTCTTCTGCAAGAGCGACTGTAGTTACTCAAGTGAGTTCTCTTTTTTTTTTTTTTCTTCTGTTCAGTTGAGATGAATCTGGGTAACAAGTTCAGAGTTAGTTACTAACTTCAGAGCTCAATACTTTGAATGGCATTGCAATGGCTTTGGCTCATTTTCTTAAGATAGCCAAGCTGGAAAACAAAATGGATAATCTAAACACGTGTACTTGAATGATTAAGTTCTGATCTAGATGTTTTGCCAAACGCATTCATCAAATATTTGCATCTCTCATTTCACTTTATTTTATTCAATAATTATATCATGAAACTCTTTGTGACTTCTGCTACTCTTGCTAAAAATTTTGGAGTTTTGAGTTAGTGACCATTTGAACCCATGCCTGATCTCTTGAAAGGTTTTTGCTAGATAAAGTTTTTCTGGCATTTTATCCAAAAGCAGCAAGAATTGAAAATATTCATTGGAGGGCCTACACAGTGAAGTACATGTACAGTGTGTCAGTCAACCACAGATTTTTTTTTTCCACCTCCGTGGGCTATTTCTTTTTACCTTTATTTCACTTCCAGAAGAAAGGCTGCAAATAAAAATATATCACACTGTAACTACTCCTCAGCAAACAAAAACTGCCTTTACTTATGATAACAATTAGCATCCATTGAGCTTGCTCTGTGGAGGGGAAACTGTTCTGCTTCTCTATGGAAGTAGCCCAGCATTTTGGGAAAGAGCAAAATTTGATTGTATAGCTAACGAGAAGGGTTAAAAATATTGCAAATGCTTTAATTTTTTCCCTCACTCTTAGCTTTTTAAAATACATTATAGTTTGGTTTTTATTCCCATAAGTGCTTCTGGGGGTGGAGGGGGAGAGGAGCTATTCAACAGGAACTTTCCAAACAAGATAATTTCTAGGAGACAAGTTAAACTGTGCTCATTCATGAAATCGACCCACTAATTCCAGTCAAATGCTGGGGGTGGAATTACTGTTTGTCTGTCATCTTTTCCCCACTTGGGTTGATTTCAATGCAATTTCAAATTGCAGCTCTAAGCTTTTGCCAGCAAATCTATAGCTGTTTCAGCTTAATGGAAACTGATGAGAATACAGCATAGGCTAACGTAGCTTTCTGCAGGCAGTTACACAGCTGTCATAAGTAGCAAAGCTTATGAGCAGTTATAAATTACCTGTGTATGAGCCTCATATTTTTTTGCCTCACGTTTCTGTTCACTCTTTCAAAATTATTACAACTGATGAGATCTTTTCTATTAAGAAGTCAAGAGTAAATGTAATGCCATGCAACTATTTGCACTCCTTAATGTTCCATCACTGGTGAGATTCTAGAAAGAGCTTGAGTTAAATGATCAGCCCTTCTGTTTGTTTACAAACAATGTAGCTGTTTAGGTGTTCTTTTTCTGCTTTGTTGTTGTAAGATTCAAAGCTCTAGCTCATATTCTTTGTATGATAAATCAGTTGTGAGTAGAAGGAAAGTATTTAATCCTTTTTCTCTAATATCCCACCAGAGAATTCAGTACATTTCTGAATGTTCACTGCCTTCCATCAAATTTGTAGCTTGCTCCAAAAGTAATGCCTCTCATTTATTTCCGTTGAAAATACAACAGCTACAAAAAGCACAATATCACTACTTGATAAGTTCTCAGCTACAAAATATTGCTTTTCAACACAGTCACCACCATTAGCTATGCATTTTCACCAGTGATGAATAAGAGCCTGCATGCTGTGCTCAAAATATCTGCACCACTGCTGTCACCACTGCAGAAATGCACCATCCACTGCCACACTTTGCTAACATCCACAGATGTTCAGCAAATGTTGATGAATGTCAGTGGGTGACATTTCTTCCACATGGAGGAGTTCAGTGACACACCTCTGCTTCATCCACTCTTCCACATCAGACCCATTGCGTCAGACTGTCCCTCTGCTGCCATCTGTCACACAGCAGTAACACACCACGGAATACTGGTGGGAAGGTTTGACCCCTAGTGCCACACCGCCGACATCTACATCTGACATCATGGGCCAACATAACGGAATAGGAGGCATTTCTTTCAGAGCAGCCTTTGTAGCAACACATATTCAAATGGCCTACGCAGTTCCTCTGTAAATACTGCTGATACAATGAGGGCAAAATTGACTGACATTTTCGAATCTGCAAGAACTGAGAGATCTCTATCGTATATTGAAATCAGTCATTAATGAAAATGAAAGGAAGGAAAGCAGTGGTGGAAATACACCTCAAACCTGTCTCAACAGGAATGTGATTGGCCTTATCTGAATTAGTCACTGTCACCTCTTTCTTTCTCTCACCACTGTCGGTGAAAAACAAAGACACAGATTTTCCTTTTTGTCTACAGTTCGTGGGGAGCAGGAGCTCTGTTTTCTTCAGCTTTTTCCCTGCATGGTTTACCATTTTCCTCTAGGTTTAAATGTAATGTTTCATTCATGTTTGGCTTCCTTCTATGTATCAGAATTACCACAGTATAACATAATGTTGTTCTCAGTGAAACTTTTTAATCCTTGCCCTAAGGTACAGGGAGCGTCCGCTGCTTTTGTTGAGGATGTCAGAAGTTTGTGGTTTTCTTTGTGATAGATTAGGAGAGCGTGTTTACCTAGTTCTTCTCTATGGGCACTGGAAACATCTATGCACTTGTAGTGACACTGGCTTTGCTGAGAAATTACTCCTCTTAGAACAAAAGGGGACAAAAAGCCTTTCTCTGCTAGGGCTTCACCCTTAATTATCTGCAGGCCATACACTCTAGATTTAATGAATGACCTTGTCTCATTGAGTCTGTATTTATTTCCTGCTAACAGTAGGAATCATTATGTACTGCTTTCTGTTTCAAGGAATACTGAAATGATTAATGGTGAATGATTACTCAGTAATATTTAACATTGGTAGATAAATATAAATAAATATTTAACATTTATATATAGATACAGATATAGATACATAGATATAAGTAAATATTTAACATTGGTTAGATAAATATGTATGGAACCTGTGTTCAATATAATATCTTCAGTCTTTATAAAACCTTAGTAAATGTTACTACACTTCTGGTATAAAGGGAACGTCAAGTAAAATTGTCTATCTACATGCATGCAAGACAATCTCTCCTATTAACTCTATTGCTCGGCATTTTAAGACCCTTATCCAATTATACTACTTCCTTCCAAGCATGTAGTACTTATAGAGCTTACTTCTTAGGAAAGCTTCATGCCAAAGCAGAGCTTGCAGGTGAAATAAGCTAAGTAAATACAGTGAAAAAAAATACAGTGATGCTTTTTTCTGTAATGTCTCTAGGTGGTAACAGAAAATAAAGAACTTGTACCTCTTTAAGAATTCTTTTCTGTGGAGCTGAGTGGGAGTATCAGTGTTTTCCAGAGACGTGGTGTTGTTTACATCCTTGGAGGTTTTCAAAATCTGCTTGGAAAAAAATCCATGAGCAACCTGGTCTAATCTGATAGGTGACCCTGCTTTGAGCAGGTGGCCGTACCAGAGGCAGCTACCGATCTCTAAGGCCCACGCTATACTGTGATTTAAATTTGTAACTAAAATGTTTCTAAACTCCAGTTTCTCTCTAAAGATACACTTTTAGGTCTTAGAGAAACTGGAGAATCAGAAAATCATCTGTTCTTTGCAGTAGTTGGTCCAGTAGTGTCAAAGTAGACTGTACTATCTAAATGAAATCAAGAGTTTATAGATTAAAAGCTTCAAGAGAAGTTACTAAAATCTGTGGGATGAGAAGATTTCCAAGCAAGTCTAGAAAAGATTCAGTCGTATGTTAGGGCATGGGCGGGTATAACTGAATTTTATACCTTGAGTATGAGAGGAATTGTCTAAATCTAATCCTGCTCTGTTTGCTTACTGGGAAAAGATAGGGTGGTGTCCTGCTGCCATGTTCTCCAAATGATCTGATTCTCTGGTTAGATTTTATTCCCAGGTTTCTGAATGTTCTTTAGACAAAAGGTTCTGAATGGTGTTAGTGAGAAAACTATTTTCCTAGGAACACTGTTGTTGACCTGTCAGTTATTCATTATACAATCAAGTTGAATGTTTTACTTGGTGTCATTTTGGCTTGGCACAGTGGATTACTTTCAGAATCAGGCCACTGTTAATGAAAGTTAACGTGTCTTCTGTTTCAGTTTCTACTGCAAGGCAGAAACTCCATTTCATGTTTCCTAAAGAATGGCTATTAGTATAGCACTCAGGATTCTCTTCTCTCTTTCATCTATTGCAGTGTATCCAAATCTAAGTCACCCTTCTGCATAATCTTCTCCTTTTTAATGCATTGTGTTGCTGCAGTCATTTTTTTTTCTTCTCAGATTGTTTGTGAGCTCTGTATATGCAATTTGCACTGAAACAAGTAGATTTCTGTCAAGGTGCTTATTCATTTTTCACAATTGGGTCCCCTCTACTGGCTCTAAACTGGATGTGATTACCTGTCTCTTAAAAGTTGTCACTTTTCCTGAAAGTGACATGATGATAGCAATCTCTCCTTTTGCCATATCTGTGGCATCAGAGTAACAGAGCAGGAGCCAAAGAAAAGTTGTTATCACTAGCATTTGGTACTGTACTGACTGAGAAGTGTATTCTAATATATGTCATTAGTTTAACTTCTAAAACCTCCTCAAGAAAAGAATATGGTTATTTCCCATAATTGACAGCAGAGCTTACCAAAATATTCTTTGCTCCTTAATTGCTCGAATTCACACATCTGAACTCAATTTATGGATATTTGGTTGTTTCTCTAGGTTTTTTGTTTGTTTGGTTGGTTGGTTTTGTTAATGATAGATGAGATAATAACTATCAATTATGATTTAACTATATTTATTCCAAATAATGCATGTTCATTTATTGTTGTTTAAACCTCTGTGTTCATAGAAAATCCAATTGTGTAATTTATTTGCAGGTATTTAATGCAAAAACAGCAGAGCTTCTGAGTCACCATCAAGTTGAGATACAGCAGAAATTCCCTAAGGAAGGGTATGAATTTTCTGTAGCTTTTTATTCATTTGTGTACATTTTGATAGACTGTATATACTGCCATGTAGGCATGACCAAAACTTAAGTTGATGAATACTGAGAAAAGAGTACCTGCTATAAATGACTTCATGGTAGGAAACGTGGCGTAAAATAAATACATGGGGCATCAATATGAGTTATGAGTTGTGAAAAGTAAAGAGACAGTTTTTCATTCTGGCCAATCATTCTCTTGCAGTCTTGTTTAAAGAGGTTAAGCTACCTATTTTTACAATTTAATCATATTCTTCTGCTTAGTTCATAGAGATTGTTTAGATTGTTCTCTGAGATGTTTTTTGTTTGTTTGCTCTTGACATGTCTATCATTTGCCCCTAAGGCCTCTGCCTGAGATAGAAGAGAATTATTGTTTTCTACAGACAATTTTGCTATGAAATACCATTTACTCTTTAAAAAGGCTTTGAAATTTATTAAACATTTTATGGATATGTAAAACATATCCATAGCTGTGGTTGTGACAAAATGCTCAGCTGATTTTAGTTCAGAATTGATTTTTCTTTTCTCTCTCTAAATGTAACTTTTTGACTTGCATTTTTTGTTTTATTAACTGATATTTTCTGTTTGTTATAGATGGGTGGAACAAGATCCAAAGGAAATCTTAAAGTCAGTCCATGAATGTGTGGAAAGAACCTGTGAGAAACTGCAGCAACTGAACATAGACATCACTAACATAAAAGGTATTCCAAGAGGAAACTGGTGGCTTTAACATGCTCATAGTTGAGCAAGTCAGATTCTCTAGTTTTTAAGTCAATAAAGAGAAAGGTGGCAGCTTGCCCTAGACTCAAAGAAAATGTTGAGAGTAGTTTGTTTGGGAGGAATGATAAGAAAAGATACTGTTCATGTATGTTAGCATGGCAAAAGCTACAAGAATAGACTTACGTAATCTTGCAAAATCACAGACACGAGCAATGAATGAGGAAATTCTGAAAGATAACCTGTTCAAGTATTATTGGTGAAAACTAGTTTACTGTCAGTGTTCATGTTGTCCCAATTTGTGGAAAAATAAAAAGGATTTAGAGCACTGTAAAAGATGAATGCTCAATTTTTAGAAGTAATCTTTCTAGATTGTAATGTGAAAAAGTTGGAAGCATTTTATTTCCCATTTACTTGCCTCTTCTCCTTCATCTCCACCTCTCCTTTCCCTCCCACACCCCCAAAAAGTGGAAAATAAACCCTCTGAAAAGGATACTTCTTTCTATTTTGTCCTGAAGCCATTGGAGTAAGCAACCAGAGGGAAACAACAGTGGTTTGGGACAAGACGACTGGAGAACCTCTTTATAACGCTATTGGTAACTACTGCACTTTTTGAACTTATAATAATGTGAAGTGAGTGTGTTGTAGAAAAAATGCTTTCCTAGTTCTGTGCGCATCTCGTTGCGGCCTGGCCTACTAACTTCTTTTGAGTGTTTGAGATCCATCATTAGCTGTGTGTTTGCATACACAAGTGCCACATTCTGTTACAACTATTACCTAATAACTTAATAAAACACCTAATAAGCTTTTAACAAAAAGCAAAGTTCCTGAAGGGTTTTGGACATCTTAGCATGCCTCGAAGCCCTGACGTATGCAAAGCCACTTCATTTGAAATGAAGGAGCTTACTAAATGGTCAGGATTCATGGGATTTAACGTTAAAGTAAATATTTTTTGAGTTTAAAAGAGTACTTAATGATTTGGAGTTGTATTTTTTACTTTTCTTGGCTTTTCTGCTTATGCCTGCTGATAAATTGTGATTATCTAGATTTGTTCACTCAGCCTATGTCAAATGCTAGGCAATTTAGCATTGTACTACTGAAAGACTAGGACTTTGATGTGTTTAAATGCATGTTGTTTACAGCTTTATTGTAAGCTCTACCATGATAACTCTGGCATAGCACTTTAGTTCAAAGTTTCATAATTACAGTAAATAATCAACCTACTGTTTGTTTTAATCCTCTAATTTGATAGTATTCATCTGCTATAAGCAAAGTAGTATTAGTCATTCACTTGTGCTCTAGCAAAGAAAAATATGTGTTCTATTATGTGGAAAATCATGTCTGATATTGCAAATCATGAGTTCTTCTAAACTTAATGAGTTTATCCAATCCTTTTTTTTTTTCTTTTTTTTTCTTTACAACTGTACTTTAAAAATACAATGGCAATGTAATATTAATTCTGTATTTAAAAAAAAAAAAAAGGAGTAAAGATAGGAATTTACAGGCAAATACTCGAGTTTTGTGAAAACATCTTACTCATGTCACTGTTGTTGTAATAGATCATTTGATTAATTTATTTTATTCATGTTTCTAGTGTGGCTTGACCTAAGAACTCAGTCAACAGTTGAAAGGCTTCTTAAGAGAATTCCTGGAAATAACAAATCCTTTTTTAAGGTAAGAGAGATTACAGAATATTAAATACTAGCTCAACTCTTACTGTTATAGTAGATATTATATAGTGTCATGAGGTATTTCTTGAAAAATTCCCTAAAACAAAGTCAGTCAGTCCTAGCTTCCAGCTTTTCAAATAATAAAAAATGTACATAATACATTTACTGTACACCAATCTGAGACTGGAAAATATTTATTTTCCTCAAGTAAATTGGTAATACGCCTTAAATATTTCAGTAGAGAAGTTAGATTGGCAATTGTGAGACTTCATTACGTGCTTCCTGTCTAATAACTAAATATTCCTCCAAAAAGTAAGAGCAAGTAGGAAAAAAAAAAGTTCAAAAATCATTTATTGATATTAAATATTTCATTATCATTTCTCATCATATGTTGTAGTATTGAACTCATTTGCAACCAATCTGAGAACTGCAAAGATATTTTATAAGAAGCAATATTTTTTCTAATAGGAGTATATATCAAAGTTTGAAAATAAATGCTTGCAGAATAGTATCATAATTCTTTTATTTACATTTTCCTTGACTGATTATATAAATATTTTATATGTCTTCTTACAGCCAGCAAACGAATGTGGAGAGTATATAAATTTACTTGCTTCTAAGTTCAAGTAGAATACAAATTCTGTCTTTTGTGTAGCGTGCTGCTCGTCTTTGTCAAATTCACTTTCTGTCTGGTCATATTGAGATATCCTAGATAACTCTGGATTTCTGCTAGCAACTGTTTCCACATAAAGGATTTTTGGCCCGGATTTTGCGCAGCTTTGATCTTTGTCCATTATACAGTAGTTGTTTGGGTTTGATATTTTCAGACTTGCTTATTGAAAGCTTACTATTTATTTTAACAAAAAGTTTGTATTTTCTCTGAGTTTTGGGTGTTGAGTATTTCATTTATGAAGGTTCTTTTTATATTTAGCAACAGTAGTTGTGGAAAATATCTCTGCATTATGTTATGTTTTTTTTTTTTCAATTTATGTTTTTTATTTTGCAGTTTAGGACTGGTCTTCCACTTAGCACCTACTTCAGTGCAGTGAAACTTCGGTGGCTTTTGGATAATGTGGAAGAGATTAGGCAAGCAGTTGACGATGGAAGAGCAATGTTTGGAACTATTGATTCGTGGCTTATATGGGTATGTATTTGTGAGTTTATTATCACTCTTCTAAAAATGGATTTCAGTTTCCTGTATGCAAGTTCCTACTAAAACATTTTCTCCTGGAGTTGTAAACAAAACAAAATTTTTAATATTTACTGACTGCTTGTAACAATATACAGTCATCTTCTGATAAGATCATCAACTGCATAGTCTTCTTTATACAGAAAAAAAGAATTTTTTGCATCCTACAGAAGTTCTGCAAGTTCACTTGCTGATCAAAGCCTGTGTAGTTTGTAGCAGAACTTATAGGCAGGGGTTTGGGATCCCAGCAGGAGCACTGATACTTACTGATACTTACAAACTTGAACTTCAGAAAGATGTATTAGCCACTTTTGTAAAATAAGAATCCAGGAGATATTTCTGTACCCTTACTATCTTTCCCATGCCTTTATTCTACTGTATCTGGTTTTAGTTGTTGCAGAAACATCGGTGTTCCCACTCCCAAGCTGAAAGCTGTGTGAATTTAGATTTTGTTTGTAATTTGTTGAAGTAAACTTGTACCTTCTCATGGTAAATACTGTTGATTTTATTATTTTTTTTTTAATTCAGTGTTTGACAGGTGGGAAGAATGGAGGTATTCACTGTACAGATGTAACTAATGCCAGTAGAACGATGTTATTCAACATTCATTCCTTGGACTGGGATCCTGAGCTCTGCCAGTAAGCTCATTTTATAGTAATTACGTTATTTAAGTGGATTCTGTAAGTGATGTGTTAAAAAACACTCAATAGTAAGAATTTCTTATCTAGATAATAATCAGCACTTACTGATGTATTTACTGTTAATATGTAAGATTCATTGTTAACCAAATGTCCAAATTACAAGCAATTTTAAACAGCAGAGCCTTGAATTTTTCTGTGGGTAGAAGACTATTTCATGAAAACAATTCAATTTAATAGTTTGTTTTTTCATTAATTTCAGTTGCAATGATAGTGTTTCTATTTTGAGTTTAAATTTAATCACTGTATTATAAGTGTAGTGTTGGAAGAGGAATGACTTATCATATGGAAGAGTTAGATGTGTCTTCAAAATACCCAAATATGTTCTGTTTTACTTTCTAGTTCAGTGTTACATTTACGAGAAATAGAGAAACATATGCATGAAATTGTAGATATTTAAGTTCCCTTTATATTTTATTTCCTTATACCTTAAACTTATATTTAAGAAAATAAATACAAAATCCTTCCTGATTTAGCACTGATCGTATCTATAACTTATTTTGTATTGTGCTCAGATTCTTTGATATTCCTATGGAAATACTTCCAAAAGTACGAAGTTCATCTGAGATTTATGGCCTGATGGTATGTTTGTGCATGTGTGTAAGTTTATCTTGTAAAAATATGTCAATAACAATTGAGAGAATTTTCATTCAAACTAGTGGCTTTCTCTGGACTAATATTGTTTGATTTATGACTAGTATGTCAATATGTCCTGCTGTAAGATATTATATGAAGGTAAATATCTGCCAGACGTTAAGTGTCAAATAGACAAAACGAATGTGAGAGGTTTTTGATAAGCAGCAAAATTTGATTTTTGTTGACAAGTACTGTGGAAACTACCTTTCAGAATGCAAAGTATAATTAGTAGATCAAAAGTAATGAGCTTTTTTTAATGTGAAGTTTATTTAGGAGTTAAATATGGATTTTTGTCATGGGCCTGAGATTTCAGATTTAATATGATGTAGCAGTTACTCTTCTGTTAAAGTGACAGATAATTTATTCCTAAAATAAGAATATCCTTAAAATAGGATAAACTGGATGCTGTGATTTCTTTATTCTTTCCTGGCATTTCACACCGTTGTTTTCTAAGGACATCCAAGCATTTTGTAATTAGGACAAACTAAAATATTTTTATTTAAAATGTAAATCCCACTTGCCTGAAACGTAAATAATTTTACTAATATGTCATTAAAGATGCTGCTAAAAATCATTACTGACTTTCACTAATTTGAAACGTCAGATAAGTGTGAGTTGTAATTAAGTTGAATGAGTGGAGCAAACAAAATACTCCTAGACAGTAAGGTAATAAGAGATGAGATACTACATTGTGGCACCTGAAGCAGAATAGCTGGTCAGTTTAAATTTGTACTTGTGTTTCTTTTCCCCTTTCTTCCCACTTTTTTTTTTTCTTTTCTTCCTTTTGCTGACTAGAAAATCTGTCCTAGCCTGGTGAGTAAAGGCTTCTATTAGGCTCACCACCTGTATGTTATCCACTCTGTTTATATGCTATGCATTTCCATTGATTTTAGGATTAGTAAAAGCACACTTCCTAGTCCAATAAACTTGCAAGTATTTCCACATTTGAGATATGGCAATGAGTGTTCACACCAAAATTGTTTCTAAAATACAAAATATTAAATATACAAATAGTAAATATAAAATATATAAAACTCTAAAATATACTGTTTATGTATGTGTGTGCTTTAGTTTGCGAGCTGCTGAATATTTTCATATTGAAGTAAAAAATAGATCTATTGTCTAATAAGAGTTATACTGAATTACACTGGGGTTTTTAGTGCATTTTTAAACTGAATTACCTTCAATCCAGTTAAATTAAGTGTGAATAAAAAAAAAATCAGATTGGAAATGCATTTGCATGGCTTCACTGAAAATTCATTTTTACAGTTCTATAAAGAAAAAAAATTAAAGACAGAGATAAATGTTGTCAAGATACATATTTATTATGATATCTACTGCAAGAATGCAACTGAAAAGCTATGTGGTAGTGTTTGGAAGAGGTTCTAATCCACTTGAAATGCTGTATCTTAAAATCAGGCATCTGTCTTTGCATAACAACTACTTTTTTTCTATTCACTTTACTGTTACACTTCTGCATTTTAAATTTGACACAGACTGCATGTTACACTGCACCTTGTCTTCTGTACACTGTCTTTTCAAAAAACATATGTATTAAGAACTGTTGAGATGACATCAAGTGTACCTGTAAAATTCCTACTCTATTTTAGGAATGAGCTGCATGAAGCTGAAGTCCAGTGTGCAACTCAGCCATATAGTTCATGTGACTCTTTCCTGCCCTATTTCCTACCCTAATGAGCTGCATAAGTCCAATGTGCAACTCTGCTCAATCATGTTGTCTATTTGACCCTTTAGGTATTAAAGCCTCCTTACTTTTTTTTCTTTCACTGACTTTAAACCAAGCACAATGCATTTCTATTTATAGTGATATAAAAAGAAGAAAGCTCTGCGTTTCGTTTACCTCTATATTCTTTGTATTAACTAAGATGTAGTTAATTTTAAGCAGTAAGTAGTAGAGACTATGCTACGAATCTCCGCTTTTCATATATATAACTTAACAGAATTTACTCAATTTTTTCCCTTCTTACTTCTCTCACGTGTTATTTTGTTCTGTTTCCTCCCAGAAATCTGTCTTTATGTGTTGTAGCTGTAGTTCTTCACTTTATGCTATATTCAACAAATTCCTAGAAAAAAAATTTCTCCTAGAAGAAGTATTTTTCTCCAGGATGTTGTCTCCCTTATCAATATCTTACATCCATTTTCTGTCTCTTAGTAGAGATTTTTAATAGAATTGCAATAGTAAAAAATACATACTTTGAAGCCAACTTCTACAGCATTAGTGGCTATCCATTTTTGTATGACTTCATCTATTTCTTTATGCATGCAAATTTTTATCTCCCAAGTCAAATACAAGTTTAGCTTCTTTTTGATTGCCTGAAACTGTATTAATGGAAAGCTGATCTGGAGCTTTTGTTTCTCTTTTTATGACTCAGAAATCTGGAGCTTTGACAGGTGTACCAATTTCTGGGGTAAGTCAACTTTAAAACAATTTTGTTGCGAGACATAACTTCACTGCAAAAATTTTTAAGAAGAATGAATCTTGCTACAAAAATGTTGTTGGTTTCCAAGTTTTTTAGCTTCATGTTTAACATGAAATACATTTTGAAGTGGAATTTATACTGAAGAAGATCTGGCTGTGGAAATACAGCTGTCAACTCTAACGCGTATGTGTAGTTACGTTCCAAACTGAGACTCTCTAAGGAAATGAATAGCATTACAAAATAGAACCAAGCTCTGCTTTATATGTAAAAGGGATTCAGTATATACATAATCCAAAAATTTGAGGCAGATTCTCATCTTTTTTTCCACAACATGCACGAAATAATTTTTAGTTTTGATATTTACCATAAGCATCATGACACATTTTATTTGCAGTTCTTACAGAGGAAAGAGGATTATCTCTACAGGTTTTTCCTCACTTTCAATTAGCTGTGTGTTCCTAATAGGTTTGAGCTATGGTTAAGTATATCTGTTCATGTTACTTGTTGGTGAATGTGATTCATATGAAGACATTTGCTAAAAAAATATTCTTTTTTTCAGTGCTTGGGTGACCAGTCTGCTGCTCTCGTTGGGCAAATGTGCTTCCAAGATGGGCAGGCAAAAAACACGTAGGTTATGATGAATGTTGTGAGATAAACAGTAGGTCGCTGCTCTGCTTTAAATTTAGTATTATGTTCTCTTCTGAGCTAACTGCCAAATACTTTTGTAGTTACCACATAACTACAGCTCTACCTTTCAACTGTGTTGATCCAGAAATTAAACAGTGTCCTGACTTTTGAATAAAATATTGAAGATATTATAGTAAAATAGTTTGTGATGTGCAGTTTGGAACAAAGTCACTGTGAGGAAATATCTCTGTGTGAAAGAAGGTTTTTAATTTTAAAATACACCAAAACACAGAGCTAAGTAGTTGCTATTTAAATAGTGTGATCTACAGTTAAACAAATACAGACAGTGTGCATAGATTTCAATGACAAAAACCACACACTACTGCTAGGTAGGAAATGTTCATCTAAGTTACAGTGCTTAGCTTTGGTTCTGTGTATTGGTCATGGAGAATTTTAAAACTGATTTTTTTCCTAGTTCTCAGCATCTTATTTTCCCTTGCTTAAAATAGCTGATCAGTTAAATCAGGCAAGTGGTGTAATCAGATATTGATTTGAGGAGAAGCTCTATGCTTAAGTGATTTACTGTTTCATTTGCTATTTCTTGCTTAAATTAACATCTAGGTGTATACACAGCATTGGACTTTCACAGATTTAATTACACATTAATTTATACTTGTTGCTAATTAACCTTGAAGTTATCTTTTACACTTATGCACAAATCAAAGTTAGTAGCTTTGTATTTTGTTAAAACAAACATGCTTCTGAGCAATATTGTCACAAAGTATTTTTATAAAAAATATTTTGATAAAATAAGAAATGTTTGGAAAAATATCTTCCTAAAGCTAAGTATCAGATGAGATTTCTAGCCAATTTGTGATACTACTTTATCCTTTTTATTCTACAAATTTAACTGAAGACTTTTTCGTTAATATTTATAAGCCTTGGATTTTCAGACTATTAAATAAAAATGAATTCTTAGTTAGTTAGAATAAATGAACACAGAGTATGAGGCTACTAAACTATGTTTTTGTATGTCTGTGAGCACATATACATGTAGTGCTTCAAATGAGATACATGCAATTTTTAGAAGTTGAACGTGTTTTTTTAAAAAAAGCAATCTTTGTGACAGGAACAAAGTTTGTTGTATTTTCACCTTTAAAAGTTTGAACTCAATGTTGTGAAATATTTAGTTTATAAAGTGGCTTTCATAATCAGCTTAAACTGAAGTAAGTAAACACAACCAGCAAAGAATTCAGACTCAGCTTTCAGCTCTGTCTGCTCCTTGATAATTACTGTCCAAGAAATAATCAGAGAGAGAAGTGTAGAACTAGATTTTTCAGCCTCAAGCTGCATTTAAATAAACTGTGTTGGAATGGTTTCATCATCTATTAATGGTAACATACATTTCGAGAGGAAAAAATGTGGTGTCTCCCTAGGGGAGTAATGAATTCAAGAGCTGCAGTAACTGCTTATCTCTTCAATGTCCTAGCTTTAACTTTTCTTTGCTCTCATGCTAGGTATGGGACAGGATGTTTCTTGCTGTGCAATACAGGTCAGAAGGTCAGTTGTGTTTTTTTCATTTTTCACTTGTTTATAGCAAACTTCAGTTAAATAGTTGAGTATAACTATAAATAAATCATAATCTTATTAGCAATAATTGTATTGCTGGAGGTAAGGGAAAATATTGAATTGCATATTGAAATCGAAAAGAAAAGGAAGTAATAGTTTGTTCAAGGTGTTTCTTATTTCCTAGCTGCCTAGTGAACTTCTCATAGTAAGTGTCTTGCACTTCCCTTGTGTATAATTCTTAAACTCACTCAAAAAATGCTGAGTGTTGTGTAACTTACATGCTCTATTCTTTGTCTTGGCTATTTTATTCTTTATTCTTTCACACTTGTTTCTCTGTAGTACTAGTTATTAGTTATTTGGTATAGAAAGTCTGGAAAGATCCAGGGCAGCTAATGAAAATGAAAAATTAAAACACAGCATTTCAAGGGTTTTATCTCAGTTGTTTCTATAATTTATTTGGTTTAAACTTTCTATATATCTTTTTTTTTTTTTTTTTTTCTCAGTTTTATCTTTTTTTTATCATTTGCATGTACTTAAGTAAATATTTTCTGCCTGTGTTTTTTCTTTCTTCTTACCCTATTTAGTCCGTGTTTTCTGACCATGGTCTTCTAACCACGATAGCTTACAAACTGGGCAGAGACAAACCTGTTTGTTATGCATTAGAAGTAAGTAAAATAATTTCTTCCTTTCTATAGTGATACATAATTATGGTTACTTTTGCTTTTTAGTATCTTTCTGTTATCTCCAGTGAAACCATTCAGTTGCACAGAAATTAAAATGGTTTTCTGTTATAGCTTTGCGCCTCAAGGCTTGTGTGTGGTTTTGGTTATCCTATCTCCAACCCAGATCACTTAATCTAAAACAAATAATTCTACATTGAATTTCTGGGTATAATGTCTGAAACATTTTTTCAGTTTCACAGTCTTTCTTAAATGTTCTAAGTAAACAAACAAACCAAGATGGAGTTTAAAAAGGAAAATACACTGAGTGTTTTAGCTGTTCTGACAAAAAAAAAAAAGCATGACTAGATGTCTTCTATTTTTAATTTCATTCTAATGGTTTTTACTTCAAACTTAAAAATCGGAGCCAAATTTCTGAGACAAGATACATCTAACAGTTAAGCTCTTAGTTCCTCAGTTCTCCACACAACTCTGAGGATATCCAAAATCTGTAGAAAATTGGACTTTACCTATAACTTAAAGTTTCATAGTTCTAAAACTCTGCCTCTGAAGCACAGAACAGCTCAACATCTGTTTGACACCAGTGCTTCATTGGGTTCAACAGAATTATTCTTCCATCTCTGTTGATTTGTGGGCTTGATTTAATAGTTATTTTTAAAAATGCATCCTGAATTGTCTGCTACCACTGATCTTTTGAAGAGAGCCTATGTTTTCTGTGTTGAAGAGACCAAGACAACACACAGGATTTTCTTCTCTGGGAAAATAATTTGTGGCTTACAGTTACCAGGATGTGGGAAGTTGTATTTGCCACGTTCTGGCAACTTTGGGATTTTCATTTTGTACATGTATGTGAGAGGTCTGGTTTGTTTTAGATCTTGTTTGAGAGTGACTTTTATTTCCACACGCTCACATTTGCTTATGCGCATTTTTCTTCATCATCATCTTTAATGATATTGTCTGAAAAAAAGTCTTCAACAGAAGATACTGTGTTCTTTCTACTCCTATATTTGTACTAGAATAATCTTATGGTTAAGACACTTTCTAGAGTGGAAAATAGGGATTCAAGCTCTTGTTTTAATCAAACCCATATGTTTTAACTGTAAGAGCTAGCTGTTTAGAAAACACCTGTTCTCTTTTAGCAATGGCTTACAGTGAGAATATAATGCTGTTCCCCTTTCACTTGAAGCTTAGTTTAGCAAACTTGAGACTGTCTTGTATAGAAGCCCAAATGAGTTTTTACTGTGAAATGGGGGGCATGCAATTTTATCTGTGATAAGATGGAACTATTCAGGGACATTTATTGAGCCAACAGAGGAATTTTGCTGTCAAATGAAAGTGACTAAATTTTCTGTCTCTCTGGCTGTTTCTATTTAATTAGTTTTGTCCCTAAATTAGAGGAGCCCAGAAGATTGCTTAGGAAGTTAGGCAACTCCTCTCCATGGAAAAATTGCATGTAATTGTAGTGATCTTGTTTTTTTTCAGGGATCTGTTGCAATAGCTGGTGCTGTTGTTCGTTGGCTGAGGGACAATCTTGGTATTGTTAAAACTTCACAGGAAGTTGGTGAGTGTTTGCAATTTGGAGCTGTTAATTTCAAGTGTTCTTTTTAACTTGCTTGATGAGTTGTTGAGTTCTGATGGCTGTGTTACTATGGAATGAAAGCTCAAAATATTCAAGTAAAGAATAGCTGAAAGATGCATACATACATTATGTTGCGCAGCCCGTTTATTGATATTTTTCACTGATATTTCGTGCAGCATATCACTAACATCATTGAAAACCTTTGTCGACTTTCCCTAGCAGGCAGATTCTCAGTAAGATGCTGAATTTGCAATATTAGTGCAGTATTCAGTTTTACAGAGCCAAGAGTATATAAGTCCCTGTTACAAAATCCAAAGTAAGATCCTGAACCAAGAAACATATTTTTTGCTGTAATAAACATGACAATCTGAAGCCCTAAATTTGCAACAATTGATGCAGAAGTATTCATGTCCATTGAAGTAGAAATCTTAGTTTGCAAAGTTGACTCTAAGGAATTGTGCATAATCATAGAATCAAGGAACTTTTAAGATCATTTAGTTCCAGCCCTCCTGCCATGGGCAGGGACAGTTCCCATTAGACCAATTTACTGAAAGCCCCAGTCAATCCTAGAGCAGATACCCATAATGGCTGCCTGTTTTGGCTGTAATTCCTTCAGAATTTGTGTTGCTGATTTTTTCTGCTTGAGCTGAACTGAAATAAACTGGTGTGTAACACAGAAACTACGAACCCACCAAACCTTGAAAAAGGAGAAAACATCAAAAATGTGCATTATGAGTTTCAAAGTGAGTGATACAATGACATTTAGGATTGAAAAGCAATTCATTAAATTTTTTAATAATTTGATATATTTTTGAAAAGTGGGAAAAAAACAAAATTCAGATTGGACTTAAAACTAAGCAGAAATGTAAAACAATCTGCTTTTCTATGAGAAACACTCACTCTCACCTGTATTTGTATACAGAAGAATACAAGCTACTGTCACTAGAATTAGCCACCTGTTGAAACACAGTGGTACCTGTTGCCTTCGTAAGTTTCATTAGACCACTGAAAGGTCAGGGATTCAAGAACTTTGATCTTGTCATTGTTGTTAGAATCTTGTGGGACTCTGTCATCATTTCCTGTTTCCTTGAAAATGTTCTCCTCCTCCCTTCACTCCTTTAAGTGGATTCTGTATGAAAGTATCATTTGAAGAAGAATTTCTGACTATATTTCCCTACCTTTCCTCTCTGTTGCTATGGCTTGATCAATGCAAACAAAAGAAATTTTCAAAAGCTGAAAAAATATACTTTCTTTACTTGTTACAGGAAGGAGCTGTGCACTAACAATACTTCATTTGTCATGCTGAGTGCTTTAATACAATTTCTAAAATTACATATTTTAATATTGGGGAGTTTAAGTATCTGATATTACTACTCAGATGTTAATAAACTTCACATTTCCTTGTAGTTGGCTGGGTGATTATATACTTAAGATGAGAATTTAGGACTCTAAATCCATTTGAAATTAATGGGAATTTAGTTCTTAACTCTCTTTGGTCTTGATCCAGTTTTACATGCTTGCCTTGACTTAAATGCAAGTGTGACCTTTGAAGGTAGAATTATTTGCAGCATACCCTTTGAAAACCGCAAAGAATCTAGGTCAGAATGTCAAGTAAATCATTTTTGTTTTTGATTTTACATTTACCAGAGCCTCCTATGCCCCATCTTCCGTTCATATTGTTGCAAGTGGACATCATGTTACAGATGAAGAGATGGCCAGTTAGTTGTATTTTCTAATCGTAACAGCTTGATTGCTTTTGTAGCTACCTAACATATTATAAATATTCTCTCTTTAAATAATATCTTTGAGTGTCATGTTTAAATGCTGGTGTCGTTGTGAAAAGCTAAGTAAAGACTATTTGTGTGTGCATTAGAAAAACTGGCTGCAGAAGCGGGAACTTCTTATGGCTGCTACTTTGTGCCAGCATTTTCAGGACTGTATGCACCTTACTGGGAACCCAGTGCAAGGGGGTAAGGATCTGAATAAGCATCACGTTTGCAGGAAAATTTAATTATTTTACAAATACTAACACTAGTCCTTTCAGGTATGAGAAATTGTTGTTGTTTGGTTTTGTTTTTATTCCTTGATTCTCCATAGCATCTTCAAGCAACCACAGTTTTTCCTTCGTATTTAATCTGTTCAAAACAGCAACTGCTACTGATAGAAGAACAAGGACTTGCTGACTCAGCCAGTCATCCTTCCACCCACCTCTAAGAAGTTTAAAAAAGAAGCGGGGGGTGGAGGGTGGAAAACACTTTGACGAGGTTGTGCTTTTTGGAGGACAGTTCACAGAATCACAGAGTAATAGAATATCCTGAGTTGCAAGGGACCAACAAGGGTAGTTTTATCATTCATAAACTAAGACAGAGGAAGTTTAGATTAGATATTAGGAGGAAGTTTTCACTCAGAGGATGGTGATGCACTGGAACAGGTTGCCCAAGGAGGTTGTGGATGCCCCATCCCTGGAGGCATGCAAGGCCAGAGATATGGCTCTGGGCAGTCTGGTCTGCTGGTTGGGGACCCTCCACATAGCAGGGGGTTGAAACTAGAAGATCACTGTGGTACTTTTCAACCCAGCCATTCTATGATTCTATGATTCATGACATGGAAAGAGCCAGCTTTTTTCACTTCACACATTTCTGGTTCTGTATACCTGCGAACTGTCAGGCAATAAAAGAAGAAAATTAAGAAATTAGTGGTGATTTATTTTTCTGAGCAACAGCTTTCCCACAGCTGCTGCATTCACTATATCAAATGATTCAACCTTCTAAATTGTTCCCTATTTCACCTCCCTTTCCTCTTTGATTTATGTCTATTAAACACTCTTCAGTATAATGCCTCCCAATCCCTTTCTTTTGTTAAGACTTCACAGTCTGGTACTAGTCAGATCTACTAGCTGAAGTAGTAGCCTTCTGTTTGTTGTTTTCTACTATTGTGAGCTTGTGTGCTATTGCTGAAATCAGAGCATGCCATGAAAGTCACAGAAGCATAATACATATACAATAACTTTCCTAAATTGAAAAAAGAGATCTTTAAGAATATCCAGTTCCCTATGCCTGGAAGTCCTGTTCTTAGAAATTAGGTGCTTTTAGTACATAAGGAACAAAAAAGCTCTGACATAGGTATTCTAACAATTTTTCAGATCACAGTCCTTAGCTTCTTAACTATTATAAGCTGATTTTTGAAATGGCAGTAACTAAAAACGTCCTTTAATATCTCAGTTCTTGCATGTATCCAGCACCAAATACACAGCATTGACCCAGCCAGGCTTTTCCTTCAGAACTGAAAGCATGAGAGAATTATTAAGATTTCAGTGACCACTGATACTTTTTTTTTAAATAGAAGTTGTCCTAGATCATACATTCCTTAAGGGAAGAACACTTGAATTTGTATGTGTGTGTATGAATATGCACCCTTTATGCATGCACATTGACAATAACTTTGTAAATTATGGCAATGAATTGTATTGACTGAACACTGAAAACAGCTTATTACAGAGATAAGAGAACTCAGATTAAAAAGAAACAAGCTTTTTAACATTAAAAAGCAGTCCTTATATGACAGAACTGAATGAGCTGTGAATTAAAAGGCCTAAGTCTGAAGTATTTTCTGGAAAAGATGTTCTAACTGCTGGTTTTCTTTTTCCTCTGTTCAACAGCATTATCTGTGGCCTTACCCAGTTTACAAACAAAAACCACATTGCCTTTGCTGCACTAGAAGCAGTCTGCTTCCAAACACGAGAGGTAAAAGCAAATTAGTTGTTAAATTCATTGTAAACTAGTATGATAATATTAACTGTAAATCTTCAGAAAGAGAGAGGATTAAAAAGGTTTACTGAAAGTCTGGTGCTTCATACCACACTTGTATGCTAATTTACATGATACTTGTGTTGAAGAATTGTTCCTGTGAACTTAGCTACAATGATCTGGTTGGGTGGTACATGATTTTTGTGGTTTTTCTCAACACTTAAAATAAGGTGAACACATTTTGTGAATATCATGAGATGCAGAACAGACAAACTTTAAAATGGCAAGGCAGTGCCAAAACTGAAATGTAGCATTAGTTCTACATCATAGAAGACTACATGCTATAGCCTGTGCTCTGACAGATATGATTGATGTTACTTTCAGTACACAAGAGCAGCAGACATATCAAGGGAAATCCATTTTCACTTCCTGTTCACTACATATCTAATTGTCTTTGCCAACGTTCTGCAAAAACAAAACTAAATCTCACACTCAAAATTAATCCTGGAGCCTAATTAAAAAGCATGATATCAGAATGTTCTAAGCATTAATATATTTTTATCACCATCTACTATCAATTTATGCTCCTTGTGTTCTGTAAAAGTATATGACAAAATGAAAATCATGGACTCTAAGGGGTAGGAGTCAAACCTTAATATGATTTCATGCTTTTAAGATGGTGTTATATAAACATAATTTGTTTTAAAACAATATCCAGCTAACACTGTGTAAGAGGAAGAAAACAGCCTCCTTATTTCTCTCGTAACAATGAGTAAAGTAAGACATAGTCCTGTGGAAAAAGAAAGCCAGAAACTTCAGCAGGGCAGATGTCTTTGAAGCTGTGCTGACACCCTTTGAGTCCTCAGAAAGTCATGAAAGGAACTTAGTTTATATCACTTAATTCTGATAGTAGAAGTCAAAGTAAAATTACAGCCAACTGAAGTGATAGCTTAGTTCGCTGTCTGCTCCTCTCTTTCCTTATCCCTCCTCCTATCCATTCCATCTCACGTGACAGCTCAATGAACTTTCCAGCAAAAAATTATCCCTCTTTTGCTGAGCTGTTTTTTTACTGGATTAACGACCTCAGCTGCCTCTCAGAGGACTGTAGCAAATGTCACAAAACAAGAGACAGCATGTGGCTGGTAGTAGAAGGGAGGGGAATAAAGCTTTCTGGCTGAAGGTGAAGTTAGCTCTTTGGACATATTAACACCTAACACTTCACAGATATAGGAGTGCCTTATTAGGTCTCTGGAAGTGCTTATGTTAGTAAATTATGTCATGATGATAGAGATAAAACATACATTTTTCAGAAATACACTCTTAGCTTTGTCTTGTCAGAAACAAGGTTATTCTGTTTTAATTCCCCTTGAAATAGGAGTCTTACACATTATTCAGGAAGACTCAAAATTTGCATTCATTTGGTTGGGGTTTTTTGTTTTGTTTTTACTGTACCATCCAGTTTCTTTTCCTTTTTTATCCAAAAAGTGCAATCAGGTGACCCTTTGTGCGATCAAATGATCCTTGTTATGTTTTTTTCTCTCAGAAAGCATTATAGAAAAAAAGGTAATATTTTCCTTCTAAGAGCTGCACACGGCTGTCATTAGACAGTTTACCTGGGTGCCTTGCTCTTAATCTAATGTCACTACAGTAGAGATAGTAACAGCATGATCATGATTTGTTTTGTTCCTTCGTCACCTCCTCATTTCTAGCATTCTTTTCATTTTTTAATCTCTACTGAGTGTATCACATTATTCAGCGTGGTCTCACTAGTTGATAAAGTTGGAGCCTCCAACAGTATACATAAATCTGAGATTATGAGGCACTGCTGAAGTTCTGAATGGTAGAGAAAAGCAGGTGAAATTCAGTATAGCCAAATGTACAATGGTACACATGAAGGAAACAAATGGTGAGGAGCATTATTACTTAGTGCACTCAGCTGCCATGCTATCATAACCTGTTTATCCTATTTTCCAAGTTATTTGTAATGTAAATGTAATGTGCAGGCCTATATATAGTTCCTGCCACAATGAAAACTGACCTTTTACCTTCTTTTAAATATCTTATGTCAATACTTCTGGTTCCTTCCTGACTTACTTTCTAGGACTAGATAAAAATCTACTAGATAACTGACTTCTGTATAGTTTTTCATGCTTTACAAACCCGCTTGTTTTTCCATATAAATAGATTGACCTTTCACAGTAAAGACTGTATAACTGAGTGCCTTGTGAACTACAGAATAGTAGTGACACGCATTGAAGTTTCTTTTTTTTTGTGGTTTATGTATTTTGCTTTGTCATTTAAAGCTGAGAAAAGCACGCTTTTTTTTTTTTTTTTTTAAATCAAATAAATTAAAAATTACAAAGAGTCATTCTGCAGTAGTTAATGCAGAGTTCATTTCTCAGGAATGATATTCTAACAGTAAAAATGTAAGGCAGCCATTTGATTGAATACTGTTACAAGACCATATAAAACTCAATATTCTGCATGTAGATGATTGTAGGATAATGCTGCGGACTTGCTTCCTTGTTAGTTTTAACAAAGTTCATGGTGATCATCAGCTCTTTTTCAAAGTTCATTTCAGACCATGTAAGCAAAAGGCTAATAAAAAAGCAAATAAGCAAATCCTACATTAGGATTTCAGTGATAAATTGAATGCACTTGCTGTACATGAAACAAAACTGCGTTATTACTATTGTTTTGCCATCTTGATGTATATGGGAAGGAGAATTATCTGCTTAACACTGCAGCAAATGTTGACTTATCAGTATTTTACATTCTGAGAATTTCATGGATTTTTCTGCAATTAAATCTTAACATATATTACTCTTAAGATTTTAGATGCAATGAACAAGGACTGTGGGATACCATTAAGTCAGTTGCAAGTAGATGGAGGAATGACCAATAACAAAGTTCTCATGCAACTCCAGTCAGACATCCTCTGTATTCCAGTAGGTAAGATAAAGTTACGAGTCCTATTTTCTTTTTAAAGCTGAAAGCAGCATTCATTCATAATGGCTGATGAGGGTCAATCAGATTGCTCTTCTCGTTGTGGTGAGTGATGGACTTCTTATTTTTTTTCTTTTCAGAAATATTTTTAGATCTTATATCAAGTTTTAAGATTCATTCTTCTAGAACACCTCAGACTCTCGCATCTCATGTTGTAATGTTATAGCACTATGATAGTATTGAACTCTGAAGTTGTCATACCAAATTCTAACCATCTGACAAATTTTAAATTGATGAAATCGTTAGCTCTGACTGCTGACCTTGAGAATCTTGGACAGAGATCAGTCAGAGCTTTGCACCTTCTCTTCTTTTATGCATGAGCATGTGAGACACTTCAGTGATAGCAAGGTATTGGAAAGTTTTTAAATAGAGATGTTATAGCTTGCCTTTAGTAATATATAATGCACAGGGTCCATACTATTAGTGCCTAAATTTAGCAGTTGAAAGGGCATGATCAGTAAGATCAGCTTTTAAGGAGTTCCCTACATGAAACAGTGAATGGCACAGATTTTCAGCCTGGGGGTTGAATGTTCTTCTAGAGTGACAGTGGAAAGCAAACAGGATATTAAGTACTGGCATGTAACATCTTTTAAGATGCCTGTTCTGAATGAAAACACTTGTAATACAAAAACATTTAGACCGTGAGAACAAAATGGATAACTTTGCCACTGGTCATTGCTTTAGGGAGGAAAAGAACAACAAAATAATCCTAGTGTTAACAAAAGTATGCTGAAGAAACTGGTGGTAGAGGTCAGAAGCCTTACACATGATATGAAAGTGAGCAATTGCATGATTCAATGTTGAGGGAAGCTGTGATACGAGGTATTTCAACAAGTTGGAAGATTTGTAGTTGAAACTAACTTAATAATCATGTCAATGGCAATAAAATGATGTTTGCAGTTGGTAAACGTAAGGGAAGCTAATATAGCAGTTATAGAAAATATAGATACATATGTAAGTCTTTAGTTCTGATGTCATCTGACTTTCATTAAAAAACATCGTGGCTTTCTCTCTGATTCACTTTAGTGAAGCCATCAATGCCTGAAACAACAGCTCTAGGAGCTGCTATGGCAGCAGGAGCTGCAGAAGGAGTTGGAATTTGGAGTCTGAATCCTGGAGATTTGACAGCAGTGACATGTGAACGATTTGAACCACAGATCAACCCAGAGGGTAAAACCTTTGAATATACTCTAAGAATCTGTAAACTGTTTTATGTTCAACAGATCAGGTTATTCGTTGTTGCATTCTGACATACCCATATAAAAAGCCATATGTAAATATCCTTACAAATGTTAACGATGGGCTTTGTAGCGTTCAGTTCACGGAAGTGCGTTCCACGTGCTGGTTCGATTATTTAGGGTTGACTGGTAGAGCATTCGACTAGTAGGACTGGGAAAAGGTTAAAACAATACATCCCCACAGGGTTGAGCTGTTTTGGTTTTTTTCTTTTCAGTTTTTTAAAGAAGTTCAGTACCTGGCACTTAGTTAGTTAGTGGCTTTTGACTTTCAGGAAGGAAATCAAAGAAATCTTGAAGGTTTTTTTTTTATGGAGAAGAATGTCTCCTAAAGCTCTTGTGAATTTAAGTGTTTTCACAGATTTGGAAAGGACAGAGTATTTGTGGGAGACTCCTATTTTGTCTTTAAAAAGCCTACACTGATCATTATTTTAGCTAACTTTTTCATCATTCGTAAGTGCTTATAGAAGCAAAAAGAGCATACTTGACATAATTAATCCATGTGCAAGATAAACACATTTTGTCTTTCCAATTATTTTTTAACTTCTTGTGCAGAATTTTATCCTACCACTTTGACTATAATTACTTCTAGGATTCCTACTTCAAGACAGTATTTTCAGTGCTGAAGGGCTTCTGCATAGATAACATTTGCTTCATTTTGTCTTACTTAAACATCTTCTAATTGTTGAACATTCAGAAAAGTGTTTTTGAAATTTATTTCTCCTTACTGTACATTACTATGATTTTTCTGGTTGTTGTAAGGCTTATTATTTTTTTTAATGTAATGCATTTAAAATAATATTTTATAATACTTATTTGAGGCAAAATAATTGTATTATGGAAAAGGATGAAAAGCTAGTAGTGTAATCCTTGAAGCTTAAATACCTAAATTTGAATTCATAGGCACTAATAGATTTTTCTGTTCATTTTTGAATTTCAGAAAGTGAATATCGCTATGCCAGATGGAAGAAAGCTGTGATGAAATCTATGGACTGGGAAACATCTGAAGCTCCTTCAAATGGTAAAATAAACATTATTGCAGATCAAATATTATTAATTAGTCAGCTAGCCTAGTTAATTAATCTTGAGTTTGGTGACCTTTTCCATTCCTACCATCCATCAAGTTTTCCAGTTATTTGAAAATTATCACTTAAAAACACTTTGGAAACAAATCAGGAATGTAGGTCTTCCTCTTGAAGTGATGATACAAGCAATATTTTGCAGGCTTCTAGAATCAGAGGGCATTAAATCAGACTAACTGTAGGTTTCAGAATAGTGATGGTTTACAAGAGAATAAAAATTCTTATGTAAAAGAAGAGAGAATGCAGGAATCTTGTGAACTTTCTTCTACTCATGTTGCAAAAGAGAAAAGTTTCATCCAGTAATTTTTCTTGCTGTATCTTTCCTTTATCATTTGCTGCATATAAAGGAGGTACTGATAACAACACCACAACCTGCTTGACCCACAAGAACTAAGAGTAGGAAGTTATCATAAAGTGAAGAATTGCAAAGACTTATTGCTCGCACACATAGGACATTACAAATGCCTTTGAAAGAATAAAAAGATCTTTCTTTTGCAGTAGAGAGATTTTCCGTCTGTTAGATTTCAATTAAATAAAACTCGCAGTCTTCTATGATTGCTGATTTGAATTTATATTTAAGCTCTAATTCAGGTTAAGTTTTCAGGCCTGAATCAGCCTACTGCACAGAATTTGTGGGCTTTGACTTGCATTTCATTTCATTTCATTTCACTTTTTTTGGAGTTACTACTCAAATTAAGAGATTTAAGTAAAGAATCTACAAAATGTAACTCAGCCACCAAAACCCACACTTGCAGCCTAAGTTTTTTGCATTATTGTTGAAGGCTAAAGCTAAATATTTCCTTCTAAAATTTTGTGCATAAATTTAGGTATTTTGTTTGACATCAGGGTTATAGAAACAATTCCCTGTAGGCTGTTTGGAAGGGAAATAGGTAACAGCATGACTAAGAAGATTCACTTCAGTACTGTGTAGTATGATTTAGTCACCATATATCTAGATTCTCTGTTACATTTCCCAAAGTCTCAAGTGCTCGATATGTATCTTACCTGTATATCTTTATTTTCTTTAGAAGTTTAGAAAATCTGCCTAGCAGAAAATTAAATTAGTTCTTCAACTAATTAGAAAAGGATTATGTTTATCAGCACGTAACCTCAGTCATTATTTGTGTCAACACTGGGGCAAAAAGAGTCATTTTTCTTAGATCTTTGTTTTCTGCCTGCTAGGAGCATGTAAGATTGAATAATACTGGAAATGGGCTCAACCTAGATAGTTCTGTTGGTGGAATTTGGATTTTACCTCCTGTTGAGAGCCTGTTTTGAATTATTGTGGGGGGTTATGCACGAACTTTTTAAATTTTTCTACAAATGTCACTGCTATTGTTACTTTTTGCTGTTCATATGATTTTTTAACACATATATTGCAATTTATATATATATTTCTCTTTTGATTTGCTTGACTGGAAACACCTTCCTCTGGATGACATCAGGTGACACTAGTATCTTCTGTAGTCTGCCTTTGGGTTTTTTTATTATGAGTAGCATGATAATGTTAATCGGAGCAAAGTTCGTCTCAGGTTAGTTACTATTTGAACTAGATCACTTAAAAAGCTATCTACACTAGTTTAAGTGTTGGGTTTTGTTTTTTTTTGAGCTTTTTTTTTTCCCCACTGTTTATTTTCAGCAAAAATGACTGATGCTTTTTTGTTGTTCATGCACACAAATGTTTAAGGGTGTTAATTAGTCATATAGTGCCTAAGGGAACAAAGTGAATGCCATCTTGAATTCGTCTTTATGTGCCATGGAATTCACAGTTGCTGGATGCATTTTAATCCTAATGCTATCACTTCCCTTTGTTTAGCTATGCAGACTGTATACAGTTTATAAAAAGGATATAGGTTGGAGCAACCTAGCAGAATTTTGTATTATCTGCATTGCAGCATGCACTGCAGTTAGAAGTAGGTTCCATCCTTTGTCTTGCATTTCTTTTCATAACCTTTTTAATTATTCTGAGGCTCTGGTCCAAGTAAAGGGAAGACTTCTATTCTTGGAACCTATCTTCATGTAACCCTTTGTTGTTCTGCTGTCCTTGGAATTATTGCATGGTTAGAAACCTTCATCTACTTAATCTTTAGAATGTTCTTTCAGTGCTTTACTCTGGTGGATAAATGAATTGATTAGGTATAAAGTGAAGAAACCCCAGTAAAGTGGGGTTGAAACCTTCAAAAACTGTGTAGAGGGACTGTGTGTGCATATGCAATGAAGATGCATCTTCAACCTATTAATATACTTACTTAAAAGAAAGTTCTTAATATGGATGATGGTACTTATGCCAGAAATGAAACACTGCATTAAGATACTCATTTGGTAAGAGAAAGAAGTTTATATGGTGATGTCATTTGTTTTTTGTTGTTCTGTTTCAGAATGTCTTTTCAAGGAAAATATTTTACAGTGCAACCACTGGTGCCAGGTGGTTGTTTAGGGGGTGGTTATTTAGTTTTCTTTATTTTGTTTTCTGGGGAGATGGGATATTTATTAAACAGGCTGTTGAGGACTCTAGCATGCTGATGTTATGATGTGTTTGTCTCCGTTTCTACTCAACTCAGCCTGAATTAGTCACTCAGTTGTAATTTACCTTGCATGGAAGAGACTGTCTGAGCTCATAGGAGAACTAAAATAAAACTAAACAAATGCTAAGTAAAAATCAAACTGAATAAATGGTTTGACATTGATTTACTAATGTGGAATGTATCTTGTGAATGAGAACAGTCTTGATTATGAAATATAACATAAAACCAACTGTGATAAGTGGGTAAATTTTTAACAAGCTGAACTAAGCAACTTGAGCATTAATTCTAGGTGAGGATCCTAGAATTGACATGGGGATGCTTGAATTAATATGAAGATCAATATTAAATGGGCAAATAGGCAACTGAAATTCTTGATTTACTGCTTTTTAAAATCAACTAATCAATAATCTGCATATGTATCTAAACTTACACTGTGGGATCTCAAAGAAGCAGATTTTTTTTTCTCCCTAAGCTTGTCTGTGCCTTTCAGACCCACAAGTGGAAAACAACAAACAGTGGCCTTCATAACCTTTTTTACCCTTGTTTTCAAACAGAATCTACTGAGTATTTTGTTTTATTTTCACATGGTAAGCTTGAGACAGGAGAAGTTGCAAGAAATTTCCAGCTCTTGTGTTTTTTTTTTTCCAAAAAATGGCACTATCTAAATAGGAACAGCATTAGTGATGATACCTACAAGTAGTAGTTTTGCTCAGCTTTGTAGTTAGGGTAGAACATGGTACCTTATGTTTGTGTTGCTGACTGAAGCAAGGCTGCGTCCCCCTGAGACATTTTCTATGGTAAATACCTTTTTGCTTTTAAATGCCAGAACTAGCTGACCAGAATTTCCTTCTAACTTCAGTACTGTGACTCCATTAATTAACTTGTTACATTTTATCTCTTAACAAAACAATAGAACTGCAACACAGTCATCAGTATAATAAGTTTGAGGATTGAATCTACTGAGGATTGAATTCATCCTTCATGTGCTGAAACAGCAGTAAGTCTTGCATGGCAATAGTGCTGTTGTTGAACATGCCTCTGTAGGTCAGAGCCATGCTTTTACAGCTGCTGAAATGTGAAGCAGAACTCTGCTGTGGCAGAATAGAGAACACTAACGTGGCAAAAAGCTGTTCAGAGATCTCCTAAACTAACTGCTTTTTCACGCAGCACTTGATGGCTGAATATGAAGAACAATACTGCATTTCATAATTTCATCAAAATTGGGTCAATTATTGCGCTTTATTCTATAACCTTCATTCTTTGCCCCCAGTACAGAAGGGGACAATATATTGCTTCATTTAACTACTAAAGCAAGTTGTATGCAGCACCTGGGGTCCTTAAGATTCTCTTAAGTGGGTTGGATCTGGACACCTGAGAGATTTCAGCATATGCTATAGCTGTTTTTTTGTTGTTGTATTTGTTCTGTTTTGTTTTGTGAGAGGTGAAGGTTACCTGAAAGTGACAATTTTTGTTAGACTCAAATTTAAAGAAAAGCATTTGTATGCTTTTAAGTGGGCATATCTCAAGTGAGGTCTAAAACCAAAAGATGGGCTGTGAGTGGCATCTTATGCTACATCTGGATTATAAAGTTCTTATTCTCACAGAATGCTGATAGTACTACCATATTTTTGCTGCTTAAACATTCCTTTGTTGTTGATTTGTTTTTTTAAGAATTATTTTTCTTGAGTTGTGATAGCTACTGCTGCATTGTGTACTAATTTACATACAGGCATCACAATGAAGTTAAACAAGTTAGTTGCAATATTTCCCACATTTCTGAAAGTTAAACTCATTTTCAAAAAAAAATAAACGTAGCATATTTTGATTCTTCTACTTGTTAAAAGTTTACCCGTCTTTATTAGTGTTTTTTTCCTCTCATACACACAAAGAGCTAGCTTATATTTGCAGAATTCAATTTAAAATTGACTTAATTGAAAACAAAAGATGGCTATACTGAGTTCTTCCTATAGCTCAGCTGTGTTATAGTGTGTTAAAAACAATTCAGAGTATTGTAATATTACTAATTTCTATGTTACTAATGGATATTCTTTCTTATTTAAGGTACAGATAAATGAGACTGCTTAATGGACTCTCTGGATGCAGCTGAATTGTTTGTTTGTTTGTTTCATTTTGTTTCCTTGTCTGAAGAGATTCCACTTCCAGTGTGATGATACTCCTTGTGTGACTAAATTCATTCATGAATATATCCGTTGTCAGTCCTTGAGCAACCTCTAAGTGGTACATTGAAACTTAAGTCTTTAGCCCGTCACTTCTCTGCTCCCTTCCCAATCAACTCCAACTGCACTGGAGGCCTTTGTGTGGACTATCTCACATCACCCTTTCAAATTTCACAAGCCCTAGCACTGTTTGAGAAAGTTGGTATAAAAAACCCTGCAACTTCGTAGGTAATATTT